CTTCCAGCTTCTAAACGATTCCCTCCGTAGTGACTGTATGTATTGTATTTTGATCATTTCTGTTTCAGTGGGCAGCTCAGGTTACTGATAATACTTTCAGCCTCTCCGTACTGCACAGGGAACTGAGATGGGTAGAGATTTACAGTACATGCTCTTTTAGCATCAGCTTGATTTTGTTCCATTTCCACTAGAAAAAAAGCACACAGACACCCCTTAAATCAAATGCCTCAGTCGAAGGTGAGAGTTGAACTTTTGTTTCGCTTCACCTTCTCCAGTCTCTTGGTAATGGCTGCCTGTTAAGCGGGGAATTAGGTCCTCTAGCTCACTGCCATTACATATATGTATCGTTTTATATGTGTGTACCACGTTTATTTAATACGTAGTAGAACAGTCCCTGCTTTAAAAGTTTTTATTGAAGGGAGGAAAATACTAAAGTAAATGGAAGCAGGAGTAGTTCAGAAGGATAGTGCTTTGTGAAATAAGGCTCTTCTCCAAAGCACGTGGGCCCATGCCTTCAAAACCCATGAGGATTTGGCACTCTCACGGGTGGTCCGACTGCTGCCCAGGGAGCTGGTGGCAGAATTGGCATTGCCTTCAGTTAGGTCCCAGACCTAAGTTAGCCCCAGTTAGCTTTCTAAGACCACATAAAAAAGCCAGGGACTCATCCTCAGAGAGCGATTTCCAGCGTCACGGTAGTGAGTAACCAAAGCAGAAACGATTGTCCTACCTGCTAAAGCCATACTGTTTGCCATGCTGTATTTCTTACATCCACTTTATTCACAGGAAGTAATAACGTATTTGTAAGTTTGACATTAATGGAAAAGAAGGTTCGTTGTCCGTTTATTTGTTTGGAGTAAGAAGCCATGCCTGCTGTCTTTGTCGTGAACGCTGGTGCCTGATGCCAGCTCCTGTTATGTTCTTGAAGTTCCTTCCTGTTCGCTGACAAATTCGTTGTGTAATGAAGTGCCATGCTGTGGTTTGTGACAGAGGTTTTAGTAACAGTAGTGTCTTACTATACTTTTATTTATCTATTCTAGATAATTTGTGCAATGGAAAATTCCACAAACACCTCCAAGACCTGTTTGCTCCACTTGTTGTTAGATATGTCGATCTGATGGAGTCCTCAATTGCACAGTCAATTCACAGGGGCTTTGAGCGGGAGTCATGGGAGCCAGTAAAGTAAGGAAACCTCCTTTGATACAATCGGAATTTGGGTTCAAATGGATGGAGATTCATACAGAGATGAATTAGCAAACATTTAGACTGGACATGCAGAAAGTGCTTTAGATTTTCTAGTTTAATGCTAAAAATAGAAGGCCTGATCTCTTTCAGGGTTTTCAAGTTAATGAGGGAAATGGTATTTGCTTTTTGAAATGCATTGCTGCCTCAGTTTGAACCATGTGCCTTTGGACGTGGAAGCATGGAAATGTGAAAACCTTCTTAGCTGGCATGGCTTTTTGGATCCCGTTCTAAAAGGCCTTTTCCAGTGCTGCTTTTGAACTCAAACAGCTCCTTTTCAGGACAAAAAAACCCCTTGCTTCTCTGCGTTCAGTCCAGCCCTATAACCTGTGTGAGACATTGCTGTACTAATTCTTCGCAATACTCATTTTTTCCACCCGCCCCGTGGAGGGATAGTGCAGCGTTGTGCTTCTCGCACCAGCCCCGCGGCTGATGGCTGCACGTGTCCCCGTGTCCCAGGGCAGCTCTGCCGCGTCCCAGCTCCCTTGCCTGTAGGACTAGGCGTGCAGAAACCATCGTCAAACACAGGCGAGATGATTCAAGCAGAACCAGCTATTAAATTTGGAGAACTAGGAATTTACCAGCAAGAAATGAGTAGCCTGAGAGAAACCCAAAGTGAACTCGGGAGCTGGTGAATGATGAAAATGTGGCATGTGCTGTGGATTGCTCTTGTTATTTCACAGGTTTTGAAGCACTGGTGAACCCTGTCATGCTTGCGCTAAAAAGCCAAGTCAGATCCTACAGAGGAAAAGAACTGACTTTTCCTTTTAATAAAGGTATTAAAAGAGAAAGATCAACCCTTTGCGAACAGCGTGAGTCTGATGGTGGCTCAGACAGAGGATTTGGACCAGGTGACGTCTGGAAGGACTCTTTTCCCTGCTTTTTTGTGATTCCTTAGGCAAAATTAAGTGGCGCTGCACTCTCAGAGGTTGCTGCATAAAAGAACGTGTGGTCTTTCAGGGCTTTTCACACCAAATATGTTCCGTTTACAAGGAAAAGAGATTTTGTTCAGCAGCCAGCCTCCCATATGCGACCTGGAGTCTGAGTACCCAGGTTTTTTCCTTTCTTTCTAGTGCATCCTCAGCATCCGTAAGGATTCTGCCTGCCAAGTCTCAGGCCTTTTCTTGACACCTGATCATCCCCTCTGTTTTGAGTGCGGTTAAGTGGCTGGCATTCAGGATTCTCTCTCACTTTCCATTTGCTGTCTTTGGTCTGCAGGCTAACAGGATTAAAAATCCTAAAAAATCTTGTTTCAAATAAGCAGATGTGACCCAGAAAACATACAAGAAATAGATCTTCCGAGTAGGAGAATGCCATTTTTACAGCCACTCCTTCAAGCAGAATTGCACTTTGAAGTTAGCATTAACTTTAGTCTGAGAGTTCTGCTTTAGTAGTGAATATGTTTGTATTCCCTTGTCTGTCACGAAAGAGGCAGTTAACTCTGTGTACCTGTCTGCCTCAGTCGAGCAGTCAATAAGAAATTTGTTCTGCTTTTTTCTTTTGTCAGAAGCTGACATCATTTTGGCTTTTAATGACTTCTGTGGCTTAGCCATAGATGTACGTAACTACTTGGTCGTAGTCCTTGCCTGTCAAAATACTTTGTCCCTGGCTATGCCATTATCAATCATTTTCAAGGTATCTTTGATAGTTTTTAAAAGATCTTTTCTTGGTTCTTTTGTAATGGTTAGTCCCTTCTGGAGATGAGCTACGGAGTGCTTTGAGCTTTGCAGTTCCAAGCGAAAGCCCAGGCTGGACTGTCTGTCTTGCAGACTTGGGTATTTAATAGATTTCTTCCAGCAGGAAAGTGGGTGCTTTTCACAAGAATCTCGTGTCCATCTGGTGAAAAGATGATGCACTCTGGGTTTGTTTTTTTCACTAGTTGGTATTTTGTTCTTGTGTCTCGCACACCGAAGTGCAAGTTGCAAATGCTGGCTTTACGTGGTGTGGCCTGGCGAAGGAAGACGCCAGCGAATGCACAGAGGGTGGCACATACTGTGTAAGAGAAAAGAGGGGTGTCGTTCCTAGGATCTTATGACAGTTTGGATGTGATGTTCAGAACTAAATGTTAAGGCATCTTCATTTTTTGCCTCCTGGGCAGACCACCTGCTCCACTTTGTCTGATCGACAGTGAACTTGCAGAAAAACTCAGGTCAGAGACTTATTTTGTTTGATTTGCCCTCATGTATCTACTGCCTTCTCCCGCTACATGTCCATACTGCAGCACAGTTGAATTTTTGGCAATTGATTCTTAAATAGTTTGGACCAGGCGATTCCCATCCAGGTCATGGCCTTCCATTGCCACCCTTCCAGCAAAACTTTTTGGGAACTGGGAACGCTGCAGTGTTTTTCCGTGGCTTTCCTCTGCTTTGGAGAAAGGCCTTCAGGTTGGCCAGAAAAGGTAAATCATCGGGGATGTCTGTTCCACCGAGCTTACTGTTGTCCTGCTTTGGATCTCTACAGTGAATTGTGAGAAGGAAATCTCATTATCTCCTGTTAACCAAGAAATTATTCCACAACACAGAGTCTTTTGAAAGGGTTTCTCTATGCTTGCGCTTGCAATCAAGGCTGAAATATGTAGCCCTCCATAACCTGACCAGATGGCAGTTTGCAAGCATGTATTTCTTCTATTTTCATTGCCGAATACTCTGCACCTTATGCTACGAGGAGTTAGGTATAGAAATCACAAACAGTGAGAGAGATACTGTTAAGTATTGGAAACACGGGGGGGAAAAGCATCGATGTAATGTGCTCATGAGGGCTATGTAATCTGCCTCTGCAGAGCTGCTGAATTTGCAGGGGGTCCGTGCCCTATAGCTAGAGCAGCTGGTGTGCTTGTATGAATCCACGCAGAGAAATGTGGAACACTTGTCCTTCGCACAGTCATCCAAATACGGAGGATGCAGAGTAGGTCTGTTCTCTGGTGAGTTGAGAGGTCTTGGAAAAGTAGGGTTTGCAATGGGGTTTTTTTCATGCAGAGAACGCTGATTTATCTTGCAGCCAGCAGACAACGTATGTGTGTGTGTGCGTCTCTGTGTGTGTGTCTGTGTTGAAAGGTCTTTTTGAGCAAATGCTAAAGCCGGTGCAATGACAACCAGTTTCAATCGCTTGACTCGGACGTTATTCATTGACCTATGGCTGTCTCTACTGCACTGTAGTCCTGGCTTTAGCACCTATTAGTTGCTCACTAACCCTTCGGAAACTATTCATAAATGTATCATTAATATAAATGTAAGAACCTGAACAGTATGATTATATTAATCATTTTATAAATTTGTACTACTACAAAATGCTAGTGAAAAATGTTTCCCCTTAGAAGAAGCATCATTGTAGTGAAAAATGAGTATTTCTGTTACTATTCTGGGTGTCAGTCAGAGGAAGAGCACAGATTTGACTGCCTACTTCGCTATCAAGCTCTTTGCTTCACATCAAGACTTTTGTGAAAAGATTTGCTCTTGAGCATTTGCTCAGCCTAGGCAGTAAGGTTGTAAGCATTTATAGTGATGGAAGACAGGCGTTTGCATCTTCCATCACTAAATCATTTCAGGCATCCCATAGGAACTGAGCGTTCAAGTATGGACAAGGCTCTCCATTTAGCTCTATTCTGAAGCCAGGAGACAACTCAGTAAAAATACTGTGATTTTTGTGCCCTCCTTTCAGTACTAGGGCAGCTCTACAGGAGCAGCCCCTGTGCAATTGGACTTATTTTCTGTGATCAATGCTACAGTACAGTGTGAGCGCTGGGATATTGTCCGGAGGTACGTTGCCGGTCTGTTTGCACTGAGAATTTCCCAGCAGACAGTCCAGGTGAAAACCATTTACACAGCCACCAGACACAAACAGGAGTGAATCAGAAGAAGCCAAGAAAACAAGCAGTACAGCTCCAGAGAACGCCTCTTTTATCAAACGTATCAGGATCCAGTCCTGAAGCTGAGTCGCCTTAAATCAGACAGCCCTCATCTTGTTAATGCAAATGCCCACATTCCCTGCCTGATGGCTGAGGTTATATTTAGCCATCTATATTAAATAGGCATGGTTGGCTTCTAGAAACAGTTTCTCATCTTGGACCTGTAGTTTTATGGTCTGAGCAACTGCAGGCTGGAACATTTGTTGGTAATATTAATCATTTTTTACAGGTCTCACTGCAACTGTTAGTCAGATAATTAGACCGGTTGAACCTGCAAAACTGTGCATGTCAATTCAGGAGAATATTTTTTAAATTAGTTACTGTATGTTAACTTACTATACTCCATTATTTTGCTGTTTTGTTTTAAGAGTACTAACTTATTCTTGCAACATATCCTTGCATCAGCAAAATAATGTGTTGTATAAAAGAAATATGTTTCCTTGTGAATATAGTATACTGTTTACTCTAGAAGTCATATTTTATTAATACAGTGTTTTTATTAATATAACACTGTCACTTCTTGAATTTTAATATTAAAACCAAAGGTCCTCTGATTTATGTATTTACCATCTGGCTAAGTTATTTAAGTTGCTTTTCCTTATACATTTATATGTTGTCCACCTCTTACTATTTCTTTATTTATTCCATATCAGTATCTAACCACATGCACTGCCATTTCTAAAGATCTAACACTCTCTCAATCACTGTGGAGTCTGTGTCTCATTCAATAATCATATCATCTTAATAGCAGATACAGTATGAATGGAAATAATGGACAGCTTTGTTACGTTAGTAAATTCTCATGTCTGCTTATGCCTGACAAAGAGAACAAGCAGATAGCGTGAAGTCAAATCTACTAAGAATCATAGAAACAAAAGAAAACGAGAACATACTTTTTTTTTCACTAGAAAAAGACTTTGGATTGTGGTTTTCCTCCCCAGCAAGGGATTTTATTCACCAAGGGAAAATGAATATCAAGTCTCTTCCCTAAGACTTGCCACCAATGACAAGCTGAGCTCTCGCAGAGATGGGGTTCAGATCACAGATCTTCTGTTGCGTTAGGAAACGGTCATTCCGTATAGGCAGCTCAATTCCATTTCTTCCATTTTTGATATATAAAAACTTGCAGTAAGAAATGGGAGTTCAAAATATGACTCAAGGAAGTTGCTAAGATTTTTAATATGCCTTAAAGGACATAGCATATAATTTGATAGTTTTCCAGGAGTCCAGATTATGCTGCCTGTACAGTAACCAGTTTAGTCCAGGGGAATGGGAGAGACCTCCTAAGGTGGCATGTCCTGGTGCGGTCACTGGGAGCAGGGAAGATTGAGCGCTGAAGCTGTGTCCATGCACATCAATAGGAAAACTTCCAGTAGCTTCAGCAGTGCAGGGTGAAGCTGAAATCCTGAAGTCCTGATTCCATTTTCACTGAGCCCGAATAACGATCCGGTGAAAATAGTGTCAAAGCATCTGGTTTTGTTCCTCAAATGGGACTGTAAAAACATCTATGGATTGTGTCGCCGTGTGCCATACAGCATTACTGGATTAAGGCAGAAACAAGATACACCTTCAAAACTGGCTTCTTTTCTGTGAGCCATGAAACATGGGAACTGGGTAACTGAGTTCTATCTTTTGCTGATTCCCAAATCCCATGACATTTTTATTTTGCATGTAAAATATAACGGTGATGAGATACTAAAACAGAATTAGACCAATTATAACACCTAGAGACCTAGCACATTAAATACATCAGGGTGTTTTGCAAACTTGGGGCATGCGGTGCTGTTACACTGCACATTGTTTCAGGAGAGTACGTCGCATTAAATCAATACACTAGCCCACTTTTAAAAGATCTCTATTTACGTAACAGCTGCATGTCTGAAAGTATGTATTAAAGTCGTGATGCCCAAGTACGCATGCTTCAGAAGTTAACCTCTGAATGTCTTAGTCACCCCATGGCCCATTTCCAGCCAAGAAATATTCACGTACCAGTCCTGGGTTTAAGTGCAGTTCATTCACAGCGCGCACGTGGAGCTGGGCAACCTGCAGGACCCATTTTCTCCGCACGCAGGAATGCAAGGGCAGGCTCAGGGCATGAGTCTTCACTGAGGAGGAACCTTGTGGTTCACCATTTCGTTGCTCCAGATTAGCCCATCTTTGCTATTTGTAGAGTACAAAGTAATAAACAGAGAGGTTTTGGAGTTGAAATCCTGACTCCATTGAATTTGGTGGCAAGAAAAACTCGTACGGACCTCTGCAGGGCTGACACTTCAAACTCTCTGTTTATTAGTTTGAATCCAAATTCTCTAGTAGATCTCTTAGTTTAGCTCTTTCATCCAGCCTGAGTGCGAGAGCTGCGGCTCACTTCCTTACGAGAGATTTCTCCGAGGAAAGGCTGCTCTCCGCACTCCGAAACGGTATCGGACTTGAAAGCGGAGTTATTTTCTGTGGCTGTTCGAGTACTCTGTTAATCTGCTACCTTGTGGTTCTTCTTTTCATTCTGTTTGAAGTAACTTGCTTTTTATTGCAGACTGCAAACCCAGTACACTTAAGCTTCCATACTCATGCTTCTTTCTGAAATGTTTTGCTTTAGTTTTTTAACTGTCGTCGTGCTGTGAATTTGCAGATTTGTTTATGAGCGTCACGTGCTTCTGCTACATCTGCATTGTCACTGTTATGGTATTTTTTCTTTCTGTCTGTTTCTTCCACAGGAGTTTAACAAGTAATCTGCCCAATGTGAACCTACCAAATGTGAATCTCCCTAAAGTACCAAATCTACCAGTTAACATCCCGCTAGGCATCCCACAAATGCCTAGCTTTTCTGCACCGTCATGGATGGCTGCTATTTATGATTCTGAGTGTGTATTCGGTTCAAATTAGATCTCATTTAAATTTAAAGTAATCTTGGCATGGATATGTATTGTTTGTTTCTGCGCATTATATAAAACTTTAAAGAGTGATACAGTTAATTAGACGTTTTCTGAATGAGACACTGGTGAATTTCTGGCATGTGTATTTTCAGGGGTTTTTTGTATAAATCTTGAAAATTTGTCTTACTCCCACTGCGAGTTTGAGCAAGTATCTTGCTTTACAAAATAGCTGTCGACAATGGGACATGATCTGAACAACAGACAAACCACAGAGTTTATGATGTGACGTTATGTGTCTCAGCAAAGAGTTTTGTCCAAAAGAGAAGATGAACCAATTTCGGTGCCAGTCAACCAATTTTTGTGGACCAGATGTAGATCTAAAAGTGAATTTTATTTAATAGAAGCTCTGCATTTCCCGGATAATAATTTTTGTCTTGATTTTGATGAAGCAGAAAGAGGAACACCCTGCAACGATTCTTATTCATGTTGAGGGGGGCCCCAGGGAGCAATTAAAACTCCATAGGCACCATTGCAGCCCGAATAATGCCATGACCAACTAAAGAAAGATTATTTTCAACGTGCACTTTAGATTATGGCCTGGAAAATCTGGCGTGGTGTCAAAGCAGTTGATCTGTAGGAGCCTCGTTCTCCCAGGTCCCTGTCCGAACGTCCCAGGGTACATGGGTGGAGTTCAGGAGGGACATATGGCAAATCCTGAGCACAAATTAGGCAACTTCTGTTTTTATAGCAGATTTCCCTTTAAAGTCCCAGCCACCAAGCAGGTACACAGTGGGCTAAACCCGCATCTCAGCATTTGAGATGATAGCTCATCTCCCGAGGTGTCCTAGCACAGGAACGAGATCTTGCCAGTTCTCCATCCAAATTCCTAGAGGGTTATTTAGGGTTGGCATAGGATGGTCTCAGCCAGCACTGTACCGATGTGTTGCTTTTTTCCTACCTTCTCATTTAAAAGATAAAACTGAAGAAGCCCCCTCAAAACTATCCCCTTCACTGTTACTGAAACAAACACCCTCGATTACATCTACACCTGGAGTCCACCAAAACGCCTCTGCCGTTAGCCTCGTGCAGGCTGGATGGCAGAGAAGTTGTAATGAACCACAAGTAAAGCAAACACTGATGTTTGATTTTTTAATAGATTTTTAAAACTTTCAAAATATTAAAAGTGGTTGTTTATGTTTCAAAGCTATGCAACTCATATTCATGCTAAGATAGCTATATTAAAGGCTAGCTTAGGCAGTTGTCTGTAAAGAGTACTTGGAAGTTTTAATCTTTCTCTGTGCATGCTTTGTGGTATTGCCCTTGAAAAGATAAGAATCATGTCATGACAGAAAATTGGGTAATCCCTCTGAAGACACTTGAGCATCAATGGTATATTGCAAGCTGCCTGTGCGATTAGAGTAATTGCAGTGCTCACGAGCAAAATATTAACAGTGCATCTTGGAAATGAATATACTATGTTACTTACTTGCATGGAGCCCTAATCAAAAGTGAGAAAAAGACCAAGAATAATACTTCCAAAATTTTGAAACCAAATGGATGTCATAATGTTGCTGTAGTAAATACCGATTGTTGTATTTGTACGTATTTAGTTATTTAAAACACAGATTCATGCAGGCCCAAAACTGGGTTTAGACTGTTAAAGCTGATTTATCCCCAAGCACAGGTCTGAACCAGGCGCACCTAAAAGCTGCCGGTAGATGAACACTTGAGACTGTTGCACAAACTGGTCCCCTGGTTAAAGGAAATGCCTGATTCTTTATCTTTTCATCTCCCTGGTTTCCTTTTACTCACCCTTCCCCTCCATCAAGGACATGTTACCTGTGGCTTAGTGTCAGCTATGTTTCTCCTACAACCGAGACGATTCATTCTTTATCCGTTAACTCCGTTAGCGCAGGACCCCGCAGGACCCCTTTAGCATGTTGGGACGATGGTTCTCACCTTGCAGTAGCCGTGTATGCATTAGCTGCGATCTCCTCTAGCATTAACTCAATGCAGCTGGCATCTGTCACAATAGAAACACCCTCCCTCATCTGTTTCTATAGATGATGTCAGCACAAGTGGTTCTGCATGGTGTGTTAAATATCTTCTAAATTACCGTGTTAGCATTAGTGGTATGCGAGGAGGGGGTTGAAAGTCTTGAAGGTCCCTTGGTAATTGTTTTGGAAAAAAGTGAGGGAGAAGGAGAGAGGGAGCGAAAAGGGTTATGGATGCATAAATTTCTCCGCACAAACAGAGCGCAATCCAGTTCTGTATTTTTATTCTGTAAGTGGAGGTTTGAGATATAATTATACTGTGAAAAGAGCCGGTGTAGCTACACACTGCAGGACCAAAGACTTCCATCTGGGCAGGGGTGTGGGTACGAGAATATACGCTTGGGAGAGAAATTCAGAGTTTTCTGATAGACCAAAGATGTTGCCAAATACTTTATTTTTTTTGAATGGAAATTTGTTGTCCTATAGACGCCTTTGTAAGAGGCAGATCTGTGAAAAGGTGCAGCAGTCAATCCTGCTAAAACTCCTGGATATGAGATGTCTAGTGCCCTTAGCTCAATTGACTTATCCCAATTTTTTTTTCAGCTTTTCAAGACATAAAGTGTGTCCTCGCTCACCACTTGTTAGCACTGTCCCTTACCTGGAAACGGGGGGGGACAAGGCAAACTCAAGGTATAATTTGGAGGGGGGAGAATTGCATGAAACCCTAAAATTGAATAACTGCATACAGTCTAGTATGGCAGTTATTATTGATCAAGGATTTTCTACCACAATTTTGGGCCTTAATTCTTAATAATCACATACATTAATGTGGTTATTAACTAAGGCTGATTTTTACCATACACACATTCTTCCTGTTAATATGTGTAACTCATAACGTTGTCTTACTCATTTGGTCTGGAAAGTTTTGTGGGTGATGACAGCAAGGTAGATTAGGCAACTGTATGGTAAAACTCAAAATCCTGATGGTGGAGATTGCCAGCATTGTCCTGTGTATGAAACTACTGTCTGCCCTACACTTGTTGCAGGAATGGTCTCCACATCAGGTTACAAAGAGCCTGATGCCACTTATGACTTTTGTTCTCATTTTGCCCTGCCAGCAATGGATCAGGCACCTCAGAAGATCTGTTCTGGAAACTCGATGCCCTACAGACCTTCATTCGGGATTTGCACTGGCCTGAGGAGGAGTTTGGAAAACACTTAGAGCAACGCTTGAAGCTTATGGCGAGTGACATGATTGAGTCCTGCGTGAAAAGGTACATGCCCACGAGCAAACTAGTCATGTTTCTCATAGGAGCTCACAGGATGCAATGTTTTTTTCTGTCTTATCAGTGAAGCTCCACTTCAACCACCATTTCTTAGTGACCCCAGCTCAGCTCTGCCCAGCACAGGCGTGGTGGAAAGCCACCCTATTGCTGGGAATTGTGGACTCTCCCAAGCAAGCACTTCTCTGTTGAGACTCTGGAGAGTGCATATTCACAATAAGGCAATAGATCACACATTCTTTCAAGCTTTATGGGATGTCACTTATTTTCAGTACCACACACGAGATCAAGTCTTTGTAAATACAGTTTGGTGTTGATGGGGTTGAGTGCTGAAGGCATAGCCCTAAGTAAGATCCCAGCACCCACCTGAAAAACACAGATCCATGAAAAAACAAGCAAAAAAGTCATCCCAGAAAGGGGATATTGTGTAGCTTGCCACACAGGCTTCACATCTGCCGTCGACTGAGAAAAGCTGTTGTATCATCAGCCACATTGCAGGATGCTCACCTCCAGATCTTCCAAAACAGAGAGGTTTTGAGGTTTTCTTAAAAACTTTTAAACATTCAGGCAGCTGTCATTGTGAAAACAAAATGTTAAGGTTAAATTTCCAACCTTTCCACAGCAATTTATGTCTATTTGGCATGAGAGGTGATGAGACAGGAGGAGGAAATGAACTTTGCGTTCCATTGTGCAGAAATTAATAGACAAAGGGGTGAACCAAAGGAAAAATGGGTGCCAAATACAGCTAGTAGATGCTAATATTAGCTGCAATGTGTGAGGTGGCTGTTCTGTACCACAATTGCCCGGCCACTCTGCAAGTGTGAGTGTGGCATTTATTGTACACGTTCCTCAGTCTGGATATGCAATGTCGCCGTAGGAGAAGGCACGTTTGGTCCCTGAGGTGCAGGCAAGAGACTCGCCCGCTGGAAGGCAGACAGCTTGAGGCTTGCTCTGGAATAAAACCCAGTACATTTTAAGTGCAATGAGTTGGTCGTGATCTCTTTGGCATTGAGCAAGTTCCCCTTTATTGCAGCAGCTCATCTTTGGTCCTTCGGCTGGCAGGAACACTGAGCTTCAGTTGTCCTCCAGTTGTCAGACCGTCCTTTAGGAGCAAAGCCAGTGCTGGAGCTCTGCTCTCTGCTCTGCCCTCAGCACCACCAGCAAAACACGTATTTTCTTTCTTTTTTCTTTTTCTTTTTTTTGTTTTTAATTGGAACCAAGGCACCTTAGCTACACCTGCAGTGCAGTTACAGCTGCGATGATCTATAGAAATCAGACCAGGTTGGCTCAGCTGAGATAACTGGGAAAAATAAGCGAGCTTCCGCGTACATCAGAAGAAGGGCCTCTGTCATTTCAGAGCCAGGGTTTTTTTCCCAACTGCTTCAACCTTTCTACAGATACGTTGCTCCTCTGTAAAAACCTGGCCCAGCTTGTAACGGTATGACTATATATAATGGTTCTGAGCATAAGTAAGTAGGAACATGCTCATCTCTGCGAGGAGATGGAAAATCCCAGTCACTTTGGGTCCTTTCAGTAATTATCAAGATTCTAGTCCCCGAGTCCAGGCTAAATCTGGCACTGGTAATTAAATCAGTTCAAATGCCACTGCTGATGTAAACCAATATGCTGCCTTCCCTATTTATATCACCTGCAAACAGGGCCTGGCTAAGGTTTCTTTAGCAATTTCAGTTTGACACAACATTTTTCTTCGCGTCTGTCTCTGAACTGTTGAATACCATGGAGGAGCCACCCCGCCTTCCACACTGGGTTGTATTCCGGTGCTGTCAGGAGAGCAGCCCTTGCAAAGAAGGCCTGTTTTGCTCATAAATCCAGGCAGGAGGTCCTATGTACCAGCTCAGATCTCATCCCAAGAATGGAAGTTTCACATTTGTAAATGAGTTTTAATTTGCATAACCCTTGGGGGATCGTTCAAGATCAGAGTTATTCCTGAGCTGGATATTATTTGTTATTTCTAAATTGAAGCTCCTATGTTAATTTGTTGGCAGATTCTGTCTGATGTGATAATTGTTCTCTGTTAAGTTGGATTAGTGAGCTACCTCAGGAACCTGCAGAGGGGCTCCAAAGGCAGGCAAGGCAATGCCCACCGTACTGCAGAGTACTCCCCATGTTAGACTCATGGATGCCTTGGTATTTCAAAATACCACACGAGATCAAATCCTGTAGTCTTTGGCCCAGCAAAGCTCCGGGTGTAACACCGTTTGTAACTGCCAGGGGCATCAAATTTGAGCTCAGTGGAACCTCAGGAGAGCAGTGACGTGCGGGTTTGTGCGATGCATGTGCGTGTGTTCATATGTGCACGACTGCGCCTGTGCACATTTTGCAGACGTATTCTGGTGAGTATGTATGCTTCAGGGGAACTACTTCTATGAACTTATGAGACAATTAGGAACTTTCAGCAAGCAAAGTCGTGTAGACCTAATAATGCAATGATCTGGCAATGTCCTTTCATTCAAGCGATGAAGGAGCTTCTGTTACTTGTAGTTGATATCATGGAGCTATAGGAGCTTCCTTTAATGCGTCAGGCTTGCGATTTGTCTGTGGTTATAAATCAGCTAATGCAACCAAATTATAGGTGTACATTAACGCTGCTGTTTGTAACATCATCACACTGTTTATCAAGCATGAGAAAGTAATAGTTTCCCTGAAACCGTTGCACACTTTATAAATAGTGCGTATTCTGGAAAGTGGGTTTCTTTTTAAACTGGAAAATAATTTTTAGTAAAAGCACATTTGTAACAATTGCACTATAACACTCCCAGCAGCATTCAGCTTTCTGGTTTGTTGAACTCTTGTCAGTATTGTTTCACATTATTATTCACATTCAGTATGTTAAAAAGAAACTGAAACATCTTTTTTTCTTTTCCTTAACAGAACCAGGATTGCATTTGAAGTAAAGCTGCAGAAAACCAGCCGATCAACAGATTTCCGAGTCCCTCAATCAATATGCACCATGTTTAATGTCATGGTGGATGCCAAAGCTCAGTCAACAAAGCTTTGCAGTATGGAAATGGGCCAAGAGGTAACGATGCAGGTTCTTCCCTTCACAGCTTTTAAAGACAATGTCATGAAATTTCCTGCCTCCTGTTGTGCTTGTTTCAGAGGCGTTGTATCCGTTGTGGATTTAGCCTTCCATAGAGAGTGTGCAGATGAATACCCAGGAAGGTTGCTCTCAGATAAATCTAATGAATATAAACATTTGGAATCCCTGTCACTTAGGAGTGACTTTTTGCAAGGACTGTGGTGTGCATAAGGTATCTCTTAAGCTTGCTTGATGCATGATGATCGTATATATTGAGTCATTGGCTGCACCTTGGAGCCAGGTGTCGGCAACACACTTCCTGTGTATGACTATTTTCTGTAGACAAACATAAGGAAAATGGAAGCGCCAAGTTGTTGCTGTGATGCTTGCAGGGAAAAGACAAAAAACAAAACACCAAAATAGATAACTTCCAAAAGTCGATTGAAATTCTAGCTGCTGTGACTTCCTTGAGTACTTACTGGCTATAATCAGCAAGCTTGACGATCCTGGGTTTCCAGGTTCTTAATGACTCAAGTTGCCAAACAAAAAACCTGTTTTAATTAATTGCTGTTACATTTTTTCTTCTGAAGCCATAGTTGCAGGTTGAAGTTTCTGTGAATTGATGTATGATTTAGAAAGACATGGTAAATTGGACTAAATCAAATGCATCATAATGATCATTTTGCTGTAGCGGCCTCAAGTCAAATTAAATACTCCTATACCAGTCTAGAACAAATTCACAAACACTGCTTGGCTGTCATATCATGCTGCTTGTCAGCATTTCCTAGATAAGACCTTTCGCTACAACTTTATGTGACCAGATTTTGCAGTGAATCATTGCAAGTTGTTTTTCTGGTTTTTTAGTTGCTTACCTCACCCTGTTCTTCTGAGAAGTCTTGCTCCAAAGGCCACTGGATGCAGCAGGGATCCTTGCCCTGATGTCAGTGGTGTTTGGATCACACCCAGCTTTCTTTTTATTTTTCTTATACATGTTTCAGTTATGACATTTTATTTGTGAGAGTCACCTTGCAAGAGAGGTTTCAAACTGCTCATCATCAGGTTCTTCCTTTGTCCTCCAGGTCAGCTGAGGCAGATCTTGAGTGGGCTTTTGTTGTCTGAGCCTGGACATCAACTTCTCTACCATCTTCTTTTCCATACTTATACCCATTTATCTCCCAAATCCCTTATCCTGCAGCTGCTGCAACATCTGCCCTGGCAGGGCCCCGTCAGCCAGGAAGGGCTGTGGTTGCCATACTCCCCACTGCAAAACAGCATCAAACCCTTGTGCGTTATACCAGCACAGTCCCTGGGGACAGGGACATTTTGGAGATCAAGCAGACTCCGATATGACAGAGCAAGCTCATTGCGTTCATAAGATTGGCAGGTTAAGTATTCAGATGGCACAAGACTGATAGTGTCAGCTGTGGCTGGATATGGTGTGACCAGGCACTCGCTGCACCTTTCCATGCTAACTTGTGATGCTCTGTGCTTGCCACAGCTTCCTCCGAATTTTGAGCATCCGTTGCACATTCGGCCTGAGTCAAATTGCCAGTGAGAGGACAGCGGTGCGGTTGTTTCTCCGCTGTCCGCAGCTGCAGCGGGGATTAGCTCTGCAAAGCCGCCTGTGCCGCTTTGAGAAGGTGTTTGGTACGGCAGCTCGGAGACAGCCTAACTCCCGTGGCCAGCAGCAGTTGCTGGGGCATAAGGTTTTTAACAGATAGCTGAACTAATAGACCTGTAAAGCAGATGTAAATTATCGGTGCATAAGTTACCATTTAGGGATGCAGTATTTTATACACTCTCCCTTTTTCTTTTCTTCCTTCTAATGGGTGTTCCAACCTCCCCCTCCGTTCGCTTGTGCCACCTTGTATTTCAGCTGCCTCCATCTCCTCTTCTTGAAGCTGCCTAGACCTGTGTGCTGAGATGGTCACGCTGGGGGGTTAAAGTTAAGATAAAGGTCTGTCGTTACAGCCCACAAGGGAAGGACAAAATGCCACCCCACCTCTCCCAGTCCCTGGTGGAAACGATCAGGCAGTCAGATATTCAGCAGAGGGATGGGAACCTGGGTTTCAAGCCCGGATCTTCCTCCGTAATTCAGGGAGCTGGGTCTGTGCATCGCTGAATCCCTCTGTCCCCCCATCCCCGGTGCATGGCCACCTGCAGCCCCGCCGGGGAGGGATGGACAGGGAGGGAGGGACAGATGCTGCTCACTGACAGGACCCTCCCTCAGTACCGCAGCTGCTGCGTGGCTCCTAAAATACGTGGTCCCTTTGCAGGCAGTTCAAAAGCAGCAAAAAGGGTTCACATTGCCCGCCGCGGGTTCGCGCAGGGGCCTTTGCCCAGACCTAGCCGGAGAAGACATTTTGACTGGAAACAAACCAGTGGTTTTTCTGACGGTCCGGGCTGCACGTGGGCAGAGACTCTCCCGACGCGTTACTTGACCTTGCTGCCGCCGTTTCCCTCCACCCCGAAGGCCTTCCCCTTCCCTACCTTACACTCACTTGAACAGATACTTGAATGCATTTTGTGAGCATTACCCTGTGAAACAAACACCCATCATTTCATTTCCATTTCCTTGTCTCTAAAGGCAGCTGTTAAAACATTTGGTAAACATACTTTACCATCTTAAATATTTATTTTTCCTCTGAATTTTTAATACATCTAAGGGGATAAATGTATGTATTAAATGTTTCTCAGTTGGTCTAGTATGTTTCTATTTAATATCTAAGGTCAGATGGTCCTTAGAGAAATACAACGTACACACAATCTGTTACATGACAAGGCAAGATACTCATCACATAAAGTCAAGTTGCATCATTGTAGTGCACTGATTACGGATTGTAATAATTGAGCTAATAGAAAGCTGCGATGAACTCGATCGAAAGCGGGGGCTACGCTGGGCAAAGCAAACCAGTCATGCGATCTTTAACCTCAGGCGTTTTCATAAGAAATGTAGAAGGAGCTGTTAGAAACGCTGGTCTATGAGCCAGGCGTCTGTGAAAGCAGCACCAAGCAGCCGTTTTCCAAACCGCCGCCTCCTCCCACGCCATCCTGCCCGGGGCTCGTCTTCCCCAGGCGGGCAGAGCAGGGTGCACATCGCTGCGGCCGCCCGCGGGACCCGCAGCCTCACGGGCTCTGGTCTGCACC